TTGGGCTGTCCTTGACTGCTTTCCCAGGCCACAAGCAGGGAGCTGGATGGGAAACGGGGCCATTGGGATTAGAACTGGCGCCCATATGGGATCCCGGGCATGCAAGGTGAGGACCTTAACCACTGTGCCATCGCGCCGGGCCCTACATACTTGTTTTTGACAGCTTCATTTCAGCAGAGATAAATGATGCAAGTCCGATGCCAAAGTGGGAGACAGGCTTTCATTCAACCTCTCCTTGAGAGCTAGAACCGAGTAAGAACCATTGCAATCAGGGTCTTTGATGACTGCAAAATCAGCTGGTTTAAATAGTAAAGCTTTGGGCCTGGTGTGATAGCATAGCACTTACAGTCCTACCTTGAACACGCCCCAGGATCCCATACGGGCGCTGCTTCTAATTCCAGCAGCTCCACTTCCCTTCCAGCTCCCTGCCTGTGGCCTGGGAAAGCAGTCGAGGACGGCCCAAAGCCTTGGGACCCTGCACCCGCGTGGGAGACCCAAAAAAGTCTCCTGGCTTCTGATCAGCCCAGAACCAGCCATTGCGGTCACCTGGGGAGTGAAGCATTGGATGGAAGATCTTCCTCTCTGTCTCTCCTCCTCTCTGCACATCTGTATTTACAAGAAAAATAAATCAATCTTGAAAAATAAATAAAAAGTAAAGCTCTCGGCATTATTAAGAATTCCAGAAGTGCTTGTTAAGAACAGGTACCCTCTGACACCTTAAGCAAGCTGATCAGCCTTCACACTAGACTACCGCTTTCCCTGGGTCCAGATAAGAACTGTGTAGCTTCCCCTCCTTTAATAGCCCCTTCCTTCCCGCACTCACTGTTCACCCGCTCAAGATGGCTGCTTAACTCTGAGGTTTTCTTTAACCTTTCTCTGTTATGACACATTTGTCATGCCGCTGTATGAGGAAATGGAGTGATGACTGATATAAATTAAATGCTAACTCTTCTTTGCAAAAGCTGTTCCACTGGTTACACCTTATGAAGCTAACAGATGTACATTTGTGGATGCCAGCTTGTACAGACTTACTGGATGGATGTAAACAGTGCTCGGGGTCTGGCCGGGGATCAAGGCGCTCTAGTCCCCGCTGGCGTGGCTCGTCTCAGTCTCTGGCTCCAGGTCCTGGGAGGCAGTACTTGTGGCTCCATGCCACTCATCCGGGAGATTTCATTGGAGTCACGGGCTCCTGGCCTTCACCCAGAATCGGCAGTCATTTGAGGGATTGAAGCAGCATGTAGGAGACCCTGTCAGACTCCCTCTATCACCCCTCATAAAAAAGGAAAAGGAGGGCCCAGCACAGTAGCCTAGCAGCTAAAATCCTTGCCTTACATGTGCAAGGATCCCATATGGCTTGTGCTTCTAATACCGGCAGCCCCACTTCCCATCCAGCTCCCTGACTGTGGCCTAGGAAAGCAGTTGAGAACTGTCCAAAGCCTTGGGAACCCACACCTCCACGGGAGGCACTGAGGAGGCTCCGGGCTCCTGGGTTTGAGCTGAATCAATTCCGGTCGTTGTGGCCATTTGGGGAGTGAATCATTGGATGGAAGATCTTCCTCTCTGTCTCTCCTCCTCTTTGTGTATCTGACTTTCCAACAAAAAGAAAATAACTCTTTAAAAAAAGGAAAAGAAGCTCTTTTGCAAAATTAAGTAATAATTATTAAAAATTTTTTAATTATTGGGTATAGTGACATTGAAATGAATACTAACACTATTGTTCAACTTTCAATGTCTACATTAACCATGAAAATATATCTACTTAAGTATAACACTTAAAATTAGTATATAATTTTATATTTGATATTTAGGTAATATCAAATTCTGACATGTAAGTTGAAGAAATCTTCTATTTTATTAACCTCTTCTCTTCTCAATTTTGCAAATATCGCTCCTTTATAAAAATGTCCAAAATCTACATTCTCTTCTGTTGCTATAATCTATTTTTCTTTTGCTGTTTTGTATTCACATGGATTCATTTTTATCCCTATTCATTTTACTATATTTAAGACATGTAACATTATTTTTAAAGTTCACTCTTATTCAATTGAAAGAATGATATGTACAGGGAGAAAGGGAGAGTGATATGTACACACACACACACACACACACACACACACACACACACACACGGAAGGAGGGGCACAGAGAGAAATTCCACCTGGTGGTGTACTCGCCAAATGCCTGCAAAGCCAGGGTTGGGCCAGGTCCAAGTTAAGGTACAACTCCATCTTCCCGCAGGATCGGCATGGCGCATGTGCTTGAGCCATCGCTTGCTGCCTCCCAGAGTCCACACCATGGAAGATGTGCAGTGAGTAGGTGGACTCCAGCTAGGCACTGTCAAAATGGATACAGCTGTCCCAAGTGGTAGGTTCCTACCAGGTACCACAACGTCTGCTCTGGAAGTTGTAAGCAATTACCTAAAGAGTTGTTTGGATTTCATTGCTGAGATCCTTTTTTGCTTTTATTAATTTTTAAGGAAAACTTCATGGGCTGTCTATTACTTAGGATTCTGTTTGCTTTTCAACTATGAAATGCTTTGCTTGCCATAGTGTAGTGGGCATTCAATGACATAGCAGATTAGCTATACAGCAAGTATGCATCACAATTCCTCACCTGAAGAATTTCCTCAATGGAAGTTGCACAATCAATTGCACTTTATACAATGGTAATTATGCGAAATCATAATTAAATAATTCACTGGGGATATAGAGTTTCATGGATGACATCTATTATTTTGAACTTAAAAAACTATGAACCACATTCATTTGTGATTTTAACATTATTTTCTCATGCTGTGGAAATGAGGATATCTCAGAATTCATACAAACACTTCAGGGCCAACATCATCTCTGTGTGCTGTGCATCTTTCTATTTAAAAAGTGGAGCACATGGATTTTTAATGTTCTCAATCAAAATGCTAATTGTTTGAGGAGATGGAGATATTTATCCTGATTAGACATTACAGAAGAAACATATGTATCCAAAATGACATCTCCTGCACACATTTTAAAAATATGTTTCCAATTTATTTTTACATTATATATTCTATATACCTATATAGAATAATAATAATCTTGGTTTATATAAGTATTGATCTAATTCTGCAAACAATGCTTACAAAGTTCATGGGAAATGTCAATGTGTGGATTGCAAAAATATTTTGACACCTAATAAAACTTTTTAATTCATTTTCAATGAACATATTGAAGTACTCTGGAATTATGCTTCATACATCTGTCTGCTTTAGTTGTTGGACTCTTTGCTCAGAAAACGAATTACCACTTTGATGCATTCCATTTTGCTTTTAAAGACTGCTTTATTTTTATTTGAAAGGTGACTTTATAGAAAGAAGACAGAGAAGAAAAAACCTTCCACCTGCTGTCTTACTCTCCAAATGGTCACAATGGCTGGAACTGAGTTGATCCAATCCACAGCCAGGACTGCAAAGAGTTTTCTGGGCATACCCTGGAATTTTCTTTTTCTTTATCTTTTTTTTTTCAATTTACTCTTTGAGAGGCTAGTGTGGTGCAGAGAGCCAAACATCTACCTGAAGTGTCAGCAGGTCATCTAGATGCCAGTTCTAGTCCTGACCATTCCACTTCTGATCCAGCTACCTGCTTGTGACCTGGGAGAACAAAGCAGGGTGGCTCAAGTCCTTTGGCCCCTGTAGCCACGCTGGAGACCAGAAAGAAGTCTCTGGCTCCTGCCTTTAGATTGGCTTAGTTACAGCTATTGTGGACATCTGGAAAGCAAGCCAATGGATGGAAGACTTCTATGTCCCTCCTCTCTGTGACTCTGCCTTTCAAATAAAAAATATATCTTTGTTTTGAAAGATTTATTTTATTTTCATTTGAAACTCAGATATACAGAGAGGAGGAGAGACAGAAAGATCTTCAATCTGATGATTCACTCCCCAAGTGATCACAACGGCTAACGTTGAGCCAATCCAAAGCCAGGAGCCAGGAGCCCGGAGCCTCTTGCAGGTCTCCCACGTGGGTACAGAGTCCCAAGGCTTTGAGCCCTCCTCAATTGCTTTCCCAGGCTACAAGCAGGGAACTGGATGGGATTCAGGGCTGCCAGGATTAGAACTGGCACCCATAGGGGACCCTGGCATATCCAAAGTAAAGGACTCTAGCCAGTTTGATAGATGGCCACAAATGTCTGCAACAGCCAGTGCTGGGCTGGATGGGCCAGAAGTGAGGAGCCAGGAGCTAGGGATTCTTTCTAGGTCTCCAACTGGGTGGGAAGGACTCGAACACTTGGTCATCATGTGCTGTCTCTAGGGATGCTATTAGGAAAGGGGTCAGATGAGAAGAGGTAAGACTGGAGCCAGAGCACTCCAAATGATAGCTTACGGTGCTCTACACAACATACTCCTTTAGCAGTTCTGTTTTAAGTATGTCACCCTCTAATTAAATGCATTGTCATTTTCCTTCACTCAGCCTTATTAAAAATATTTAGACCAACCAATAGATATTTTGTTTCTGCTTCTTTTACTTATTCTGTCATGACTCTTAAAGATCTGTTTCTCACAACTCTAGCTTTTCCATTTTTATTGCTTTGAACTGACCTGCATGGTTGTACAATTTCCAGTTTATGGAGCCTCACTAATTAAATGTAATAGTCTGAGGAATTATCTTCTATACATTTGTGTCTTTAATATTAAAACGGTATACAGATTCTAATTAATAGTGTCTCCACTGGACAAACTCAATCAACTAAGGCAGTGGCTTGTGGCCATTCCGCAGTCATGGAATACTGAGTCCTTGGAATGGAATGATGTCATCAGTGTGTCATAAATGAGTTGAGCTGCCCTGTAGCTGAGTAGATGTTGTACTGAGCACCTGACAGGACAGTGGTTAGGTAAAGGGAAAGCCTCTCATATGATTTTTGAATGTTTAAATTCCATTCCTCATCACCACCAACTCACTCCCAGAAGCCAACTTACAGGGTAAAAAAAAAAACCTAGCTGATGTAAGTAATTCTCCAACGACTTGACCATGAAGCGGAAACAAAAGACAAAACATCTGGAAATCACATATCCCCCCCAGTCTGAAAAGACTTCAAGAGGTATGTCTGAGGGTGTGCTCTGGGCGCAGGGCTATCAGGATCTGCCCGTTGACAGAGGCAGACACCAGGGGTCCCAGCTGTGGTGGTGAAGAGGAGGTGAGAGAAGAGGGAGAGGCAATGAATGAAGGGCGTAGGAGAAAAGCAGCGAGGAGTATTCCTGGCTCTTGTTGATGTTTAGGGCCTGTCATACCCACATTACGTCATTCTTTGTTACTCTGCGGCAAACAGACTAATTTATTTTTTAAAACTACCATTTCTTTCATTTTCTTAAAGAATTGGAAACGTAAGTAACGAAAAGGTTTCTATTCTTTCTTAGATGAAGAAGGAAGTGGGCCTCCTGGAGATTAGGAGACAAAAAAGTTTGAGTGCTTGTAAGATGGCTGCATAAGGAGCAGTAGAAGCCATACTAAATCTATGTACTAAGATGCAAACTTTTGGTTTGGACTGTGAAGACTTAAATATAGGGATCTACATGAATGTGAAAAATCAGAACATACACAAACATGCAAAGCTGTTTAGAAATAGAGTGAAGTTAGCAGGCTCTCTGGTTAAGTGGGGCATAACACACGAATGGTTGCCATGGAGCTTAACAGCAAATAAGTTACCCCTCTGAGGATGGTGAGTTGTTTAGTGCAAGTAAAGGGACAGAACTTAGCCAATCTAAACAACTCAAGTAGCAACTAATACTTCCAAGTAGGATCTGAGATTTCCAATCAAGTTTCAGGCTCTGCCTGTTTGGAAGCTGCCTTTGACAGAGGCCTGATTGTGAAGCTGGATCCATTTCAAAGTCAATACAATTGGTAACATTCAGAGATGTTACTGAAGTATTAATAATCAGAAGTGTAGAGCATAGTCATACTGACCCAAATAACAAAATACATAACAGCCCAATCTAATGCATAGGCCAACACACTACAACACACTACAAGGCCTAATCATCTATTTCAAAACCACATTACATCCCGAATTCATTGGTTAGAGACTAGGTCACCATAAATAATGCACTATGAATTTATTTCTTCTGTTAGAATTCAAGGTTTATCATCAGGTCAGAAGAGCAAGTCTTCTCCATGTGGTAATTCATGGCATATAATTAATGAAATACAATCATGTCATTACAGGCAGCACTCAAAGGGACCCTGGAATATCAGCTGCCCAGTCGGCTGGAAAACTAAACAGCATGGTAGAGGACAGAGGTGTGTATGCTTGCATAGGACACAGGTCACTCTTCCATTAACTCAATCACAGCTCAGAACCAATTCCAAGGGAGGTTGATAGGTATGATACAGAGGCTCGGGTGGACGGTGATTGGCTAACACTGTGTCCACTGTTAATAAATGAAGCACACACTGCGAATACATCAGTCACAGTGTGTCCTGCCTCAGTAAGTACCACTCTACAATGAATGTTTTCGGCTGCAGAAAGTAGATCTCGGCTCCATGAGGCAGTGTGTTCACAGTATCCATCATACAGCAGATTCTTACTATGTGTTTAACGATGGACCAATATACACAAACACCAGATATGAACCCTATATTTTTCCTAATTTCTCAGGAAAGCTAAATTTTTATATTTAAAAAAAGGTTATGCTATGTAAATAAAAAGCATAAATCCCTGCTATTTCTCAAGTGTGGCATACAAGCTTTAGATTCAACAAGAAATTCTAAACTCAAGAAAAATAGTTAGAAGACATATGACATATCTATGAGACAAAAGTAAATCAAGTTCAATAGATTTACTTCCTACTATGTATTTTTCTATAAAAATTTACTTTTTCATATTAGAAAGGCAGATTTATAGAGGGAGGGAGAAACAAAGATTTTCCATTTGCTGGTTCACTCCCCAAATGACTGCAATGGCTGGAACTGAGCCACTACAAAGCCAGGAACCACGAGTCTCTTTGGCTCTCCCACATGGGTACAGGATCCCAAGACTTTGGCTTATCCTCCTCTGCTTTCCCAGGCCACAAGCAGAGAGCTGGATGGGAATTGGGCAGTTGGGCCATGAACTAGTGCCCATATGGGATCCTGATGCAGGCAAGGCAAGGGTTTATTGGGCCAGGTCCCTTACTGTGTATTTTTATAAATTATTTCAAAACCTGCACGTACGCCCTTGGGGCTCAGGAATTCCAAATGTCATGTGAGGCTAAAAAGATATTGGCAAGGTTGGATTCCCTCAGTGCTTCAGTTGAGAATGTCCTTGCCTCCAAGAGCTTCCTGCTCTCCTTGGTTTGTACACCCTTTTGTCTTAAATTTAACCTCTTACTTCCACTGTCTTATTTACCTTTCTGTCTGGTCTCCTTGACACCCTTCGTAAAGGATGTTTAGGATTCCATTTAAGACCTTGTTACATAATGTAGGATAATTCCTCCATCACAACACCCTTCATTAGCTTTGCAAGTCCCCCTTCCTCACATGAAGGAACATTCTTTGGCTCTAGAATTTATCAGTATCTGAGATGAGGAGCACGACTCAACTTTCCACAACTATCATTAAACGTGAAACACAATGACAGATACAGTCAGGTCAACACATACTAAAATGTCTTTGACTGAAAGTTGTGGGACAGTATAATAATTCCAAGATTCCCAAGCAGAAGCCACTCCAGAAAGGCAACATATGTATATTATGTACACCTTGCCAGCAATACCTGGCCCAAAAATATGTATCATCAATACTCATATTTTAGAGTTTGATAAGAACAGACAGCAGTCAGAAGTGCGAGACAGTGAACACTCTGCATTCTTCGAATCAAAGTTAAGATGCAGCTTTTTAATTTCCTTGAATGACGCCACTGTTGTGCAGCAGCAGCTGAACCTGTCACCTCATTGCTGGCATCCCATTTGAAAGTTGTTTTATGTCTCAGCTGTTTGACTTCTAATCCAGGTCCCTCATAACAGCCTGGGGAAAGCAGGAAAGATGATCCAAATGTTTGGGCTCCTGCTCTTCCATGTGGGAGATAGGGAAGAAGCTCATGGCTCCTGTCCTCAACTTGACTCAGCCCTGGCTGTTGTAGGCCATCTAGAAAATGAACCTGATTCTAAATATTTAGAAAACCTTTTATCTTACAATTAAACCATAATCGTGATGATACAGATAGTATAACCTCTGGTAATATTTCCCTGAAACACAAGAAAGCCATCTTTATCTCAAGATGGTTTTTCCCCATTTCCCTTGAGAACGGGAAAACTCACGTTGCAGATGTCTTAACCGGACACTAGGGCATGCGGTGGTGAGTGAGATACTAGCACGTGTCTGACCCTCAGCGCCTGGCTCCATTACGGCTAACAGATCACAGCGCACACTGCTGGGGCCTGTACCTACGTCTCAGCAGGAACACACTCTTGTAGTGTCGGCACATGCTCTTTGTCTCTCGTTTGAAAATCAAGGCGTTATGATTCAAGAATAATGCAAAAAGGGACAAATGCTTGAATACACGAGGGAATGAAAACAGCGTTATAAAGAATAATATGGAGAAGCAACGGAATGATAGGTTTGTCAAAGAGACAAGGAAACACGTATTCAGTCTGAAACTAGCAAGTTTAATGTTGTGGGTTGCAATTGTGGGCATGCTGCTGACCACCAGGTGACAGGTGTGGAATGAAACATCTGAAGAGCTATCGGTGCTTTCTGCTTCTGCCTCCCACGGCAGGACAAAGCTCCTGTGACCTGGTGAGTGGGAAAGGGTTTGAAAGGGTCTACAAATGGCTGCCTCTTGCCCTCATTAACACCCATAGACACGCATTTCTTGTGAATGGATACAGAAGCCAGGTGACGCCATGTTTCAACGTTCTCTGTCTTACTTTGCTCCCCAGGTTTCTGCACGTCTCAAGCAGATGTTCCTGAGACAGGTACAGTGTTCCTGTCTGCCTCTAGCCAGACAGAAGGCAAGAGTGCCTCCAGCTCAGACAGGTTTTCCTTTGTCCCTGTTTCAGAACAGCCACACTCTTGTTGATGAAGATGGTAAAGTAGCGACAAAGGGATGCCTGAACTTGGACAAGAGGTGCAGCTGAGCTGTCTGCCCCATCCCTGCTCACTAGCTATCCCCTCAATAAAAGAAAGCAATCCGGGGCAGTGGGGGTAATTCCCTGTGGGTGGGACATGCAGGGGATATGATAGCAAGAACAGGGTACAACGCCCAAGGACTCAGGAGCCACATGTGCGCACCGGCTCTATGAGTGAGCCATGAGCAGTGCTGACACATACAGAAACTGGGTCACAACAACGCAGACTGACTGACACAGAACCAGGCCCACAGAACCAGTCACAGCTTCTATCGCTCCACACCAAGAATGGCTTCATTCACCATCTTTTGACTTATTCTGTCAAATGTCTCTACTCTCCATCTTTCCCATTTTGTGGTGGCATCACATAGGTACAAAGTTGTACACCCATTCCTGCACAGAGTCTTTCAGACCCAGCCCTTTTTCCTAATCCTAGAGTGTACTGCATCTTCTCTTACAGATAATCTCTTTGAATTCACTGGTGCTGGATTAACTCCAGGAAAACCCTCCATTATGAAGAGAATTCAGTTTCATAGACAGCCTCTCTCTCTTCCATGTCCCAGCATTCTCAGCCCCTTCAGCCCTGCAGGGCGTGTTCTGAGATCTCACAGAGGCCTTCTTTATCAGACTATCTGCATTCTGAGTGGCTAACAGAGCTCATGAGCTACGGCATTATTTGCTCACTCATAGCCTCATACTTTGAGCACAGATACACATGTGCGTTCACTGGCACAGGACTATCACCAGATGTGTGCCAGCGCACATACCCACTCTCTTCAGACACATCCCACACTGTCCACACAAAGGGACAAGAAGAACACATTTCCCATGACAGTGACCATATACAGAACTCTGAAACATCATATTTTCTGCCCCTCTGTCCTTGCTATGTCAAATGTAGGGACATTCTTGGGACCATCTGCAACACACCTGACTTCATACACACATACATACACACACACACACACACACACACACACACACACACACACACACACACACACACACACTTTGTTCACTTTTCTTACATAGGGCATTCTCTTTCCTAGGCATCCATCAGTGCCTGACAGAAGCTCCCTGTCTTCGATTCTCTGAGACGCCCCTGCTCCAGTTCATTGAGCTCCAGCAGACTCTCTTGCCCTACCAGAATAACTGTTTTCATTACCATTTAGCCAACGAACCCTGTACGCCAGAGATACATAGGAGGAAGGAAAGGCAAATGAAAATTTACTACACACGTGTCCAAAGAAAAATGCAGGTGACTGACTTAGGGAATGCAGAGAAAGGTTTGACATCTTCACCAAGGAAAACGAGGGTACAGGAAATAACCTTTTCTGGGAAGATCCCGGTTGAGACTGACCTGCCTATTTTATCACCTTGGGATCTCCTAACTGAGAGTGAGTGTGGCTGGGATGTAGGGGATGAAGAGGAGATGGCGGAGGTGCTGGAGGAGGAGGAACCAGACGGCCCAGCCGAGCTTCCCCCTCTGGAGGAGCAGCCCAGGGCCAGGCCGCCAGAGTGGCTGCTGACCCCTGACAGTGGTTATAAGTGCTTGGGCTGCTGCCGCGTCTTCCCCAGCAAGGACGCCCTTCAGTGGCACGTGCAGCATGGGGTGGAGGAGGGCTTCAGCTGCCGTGCCTTCCACCTTGCCTTTGCCTGGCTGAAGAGCAAAAGGAGCATGAAAAATAGGAGACAGAAGAGAAGCATCCATTCAAGCAGAAAGGGAAAACGCTTTCATAGGAGGAATTCCTCGGGGAAATAGATGTTTTCCAGCCCCCTTTAAAAAGAGGAAGTGAAGTAGGCACAATCTACTGAGATAGCTTTCTCCTCTCTGAGAAGCCAGAAGTAGACATTTTTCCCCCTAAACACACCTGACATTTCCATGAGTAATCGTACCAAAGAACTTTTTTTGTGATGGTATCTTCTACTGTCTGCATCCAGAGAAATGACTGAATTCTTGTCACCACAGTAAGAACACCTGATTTTCTTCATTAAATAAATTATTTCCTGTGTTTTTGTTTCCTGCTAGCAACCTAGGCTTGACATGAAGTGTCCAACACAATTGCAGTCTTTCTGGAAATGATCCATCCTTTTTAGCCTCACAACATCAAACCAGGGCAGATCTGAAGACAGCAGATCTGAAGCAGATCCCCTGGAGTTGCATTCAATTGCCTTGCTGAAGATGTGGCATCGGCTCGGAAGCAAACATCTGGAGTTGTGGGGCACTCAGGCTACCTTGCGAACAGCTCATCCTGAGCAGGCCTTTTCCTGTTACACTCAAATCCTCTCGGAAGGTCAAGGGGCAGTTAACATGCCTCTCAGACTGCGAAGCGAGAAGGGGACAGTGTAGGCAGAGAGATGCTAACATTGTCGGAGTAGACTTGGTATGCTTAGAGCTCCTGGGATGGATGACAACTAGGTAGCAATACTGGGAGGATATCGCTCAACGGGATGGGAGTTTGGGATATTCTGGTTCTCTTCCAACTGTGAAGCCTACCATCTAGTCTCTATCCCATTTACCATGTATTTGAATATGGAGCTCATATTCTTGTGCTCCAGAGCAGGTAGTGTGTCCATTCAACTTCATCATTTCCCATCTCCTTCCTCCCACGTACGGCATTATGGCTACATGCTTCACCATGAGGACAGAATGTAGATCTGCTAAACTGCAATGCCCTTCTCTCCTGTAGTCCATTCTGTTCCCAAGAGCTTAGTGTCAACAGTTCGCTTCTGTGTCCACGAACACAGACCTCGACTCATGCCTCCACTAGTGAGCTTAGCTGTGTAATGTCTGCTGCAGGACAGAGTCTACAAGGAGGGAAATAAGAACACTTGCAGATTAGCCTCAAATCCTTGGTTTCTTTGAGCATGTAATATACAGGTGACAGCATCTGTAGTAACAGTGAAAAAGTAACATGAAGTAAATTACCTGAGAAAATCAAACATCTGTATATTCAGGTGTCCTCCAAACCGTACTGTAGTTTGGAGATTAATAATCAGAAATGTAGAAACTACTGACTCTCGGGAGACAACATTTGCATGTTTATTTACATCTCATTTATACTTAAGTTTTCTAAATTTTCAAAATAAAGATGGAAATTTTCTTGTCACAATTTTCCATCTCCCACCAGAGAGAGCATCGATAAAATGATAATTGAGAAAGTGCATAAAGGTGTGCAGTGGATTTGAAATTGAGCTAGTGCAGTTTTCAAAACATTTTTGTACGTCGTAGCTGCTATTCTAAAATTAGAACTTGCAACTCAAGATGTCATGAGTGACATCGGTGTGAAACATATCTGGTTATCCTGAAATAGCCATTCTCCTTCCTCCCTCGCAGGGGTGTATGTATGAGGAGTCCTCATGGACGTGTGAGCAGAGACTCCATAGGAGCCAAGAGGTGGATGGAAGCCGCTTTTACTTTAATCTTTCTAGTACTTTTTGCCTTCTTTATCTAAGAAGTACCTTTCAACCTCGTATATGAACAAGTGCTGAATAATAAATTTCTATTTTTCATTTTGGTTTTTCTTCAATGACCCCTGATCCGTTATTGATGGTTCGTACTTATTTAATGTAACACATTTTTTTCTCTTATTAAACACTGAAATATTCCTGGGATTTTATCTCAAAATGGATAGGGTTCCTTAGTTGTGGTAGATATACAAAGCCCTCGATTGATCCAGCGGTTACACCGCAAATGTCTTTGTACCTCCCCCACAAGTCGGGACTTTGGCAGTGTAAGTCCTTGCGCTGGAGCTGGGAGTAAGTCTACTTTAGCACATTCTCCTCTGTATTACTGCTCTCATCTTGGGAAGAGAATCAACACTACTGAGTATAATATTTACACCCTGTGAAGATGAAATGCATATGACAGTATACCTGATGGTCATACCACAAATAAATGCACAGAAAGGCGTGTGGCATAAAAGGTTACTCAGTATTTTTTATTTCTTTATGTATTCTTACGCTGTGTACTTTGATCTACTCTGAATTACAGGTGATTATATATATACACAGGAAGTTAGTACGCTTACAGGACTTGCACTACCTACCCACTGTGGTCTTAGCCTCTATTGTGGTCACACTTTGACAATCAACCTCAGACATTTCCCTCAATATTACGAGCACACCACAAATATACAAATATATAAGCTTTAGAACCAAGTTAGACACAGCCTCATCTTCCTTACGTTGATATTCAAATTTAGCAACAATACCTATTTGTGGCTCAGTGTGACATTTCAATGTATGCATATAAGGTGAATTGATCAAAAGGTACCGTTTCCCTCTTTTTGACATGTAATATTAGAGGCTTTGAGTTCCTTTATAATTTTTTTTCATACAGCTAATACAAGATGTTATCAACTACATGTACTCCCACTATACCTTGCACACTGGTAACATATTTCTTTAAATCTGACATGGGACTCAGTATCTAATTTTTTTTATCTTTCACCCTTATCTCTTCCAGCATAAAGTACTCACCATTAGTCTAGCAATACATTAGTAAGATTGAACACTTTTTGCTTCTGCATATGAGGAAGAACATGTAGGATCTGTCCTTCTGTGTCTGGTTTATTTCACTCAACATGATGTTCTCAGTTCCATCCATTATGCCGGAAATGATAAATTGTATTTATTATGGTTGAGTAATAGTCCGCTGTGTTCATATACAACATCTTCCTTATCTATTCATCAGATGCAGGGCACATATCTTGATTCCATATCTTGGTTACTGGGAATATTGCAGCAATAAAAACAGCAGAGGTGGTACACCTTTGGTAAAATGAGTTCCATGTCATTTGATTACATTAGTGGCATTGCTGGAACATACGGTCAGTTGTATTTCTAGCATTAAAGAAATTTAAATACCGGTTTCCATAGTGGCTATACTAATTTTCACCAAAGTACCAAGCTATATAAGAATTTTGCTACACCTTTATAGTTTATTATTGTAATAACAGACATTTGAACAGATCTGAATTAAAGCAGTTTTGATTTGCATTAACCTCAAGGGTTGTTGATCATCTGTACATATTCTTTTGATAAATATCTATTCAGGAACTTTTCCTATATCTTCATTGGAGTTTTGTTGCTACTGTCATTTCCTTATATTTCCGATATATTCTGAATGTTCATCCTCTGAAAGATAAGCACCAAGTATAAGTGCTACATCCCTTTACGCTGGATGATGCTTCACTCTTGTTTCAGCTACAGGTCTTCAATGAGGGAGTAGAAATAGGCTTTCCACAGGCACATGGCAGGTGCAGATGTTGCCAGGACTGGCAGAGCCGCCGATATGGTGCCAGATACCCTGCATGCTGTGGAGGCATCTCCCAGTTTCCACGTTTCATATGCTGAAACGTAGGCTATGCTGGGATTACACACTGGAAGGTGTATGTCCAGAGAAGTGTGATATGGGGAGGGTGTTTCCTTGGTCCCCGAGGACCTCAGGCAACTCTAGGGAGTAGAGTTCCAACATCTTCATTTCACAAGCTATAAGAATTAAAGAGGTTCTTCCCTGAACAGTGCAGTTATGCTTGGATGGTGTACTATCAGGCTCAAGCCTGGAATTGTGAGACTTGAAAGGCCCTGCTGGTGACCCAAGATGAACATCCATAAGACTGGACTGGCAGTCACCGACCAGAAGGACAGGGATGCACACAGAATTCCTAAAGTACTACTGGTGAATGAGTCTGACTCCCAGGGCACAGTGCCAATGAGCAGACAAGGCTGTAATGCCCACATTCCATGGTGCATGCAAGGGTGATGCTGGCTCTTGTGCCATTGCTACACATCACACTGTGCTAATGAATATAGAAGAGGCCTTATTCAGGTATGGTCCTCAAGGTTTGTGGATTGGCTGCCACTGGCACGCAGCCCCAAGAAGCAGAGTGGGGTTTCCCTAGATCAAACATCCCAGGCAATTGTGACTCCGTGGCTTGGGTCACCAATCTCATAGCAAACAGAGGGGCCTGCTCTCTGGCCTGTAAAGGACACTGGTTCGGGAGGCTCCTGCCTGCTGTCCTTAAGATGGAATAGAGTCCATTGTGGCTGGACATCAGCAACAGCAGCAGCAGCTCCAGTCTGGGATTCTTCACAGAAGGCAGAGGAAAGGTGAGTTCTTTTTTTTTTTTTTTTTTTTTAAGAAAGCTGTACCCTGGATCCCTTACAGCTTTTCAAGCTGGATCTAAAGCCAGTGAGAGCTATCCAGTTCTGCCCTAGCTAGGACTGCCAGCCTGCAGTGATGCCAACCTTCAGAGGGGGTTCTGCAGATTGCTGTTTTCCTTGGCAAATGATGGCCCTGGCTGGGGAGGCAGCGTGGAGGGCTGAGGTGTGTGGTTCTTCTCCATGCTGGCTTTCTGGGTTGCTGAGCTGCACACTGCTCCAGTCACTTCTTGTCTGAAGAGTTTTTTAGTCTTCTCTTGTGCTGCTGGCTCTTCTGTGGGACAGAGGCAAGTGCTGGGCGTCTCTTCAGCTGGCTGAAATCCCTCTGCATTTCATTCATTTTTCAGCTTTTTTTTTTCCTTTTCTCTTAGCTTTTCAGCAGCATGTTTATGTTGTGCCTTGATGGGATTTTCATTTTAAAATAGCCTTTTTAACACTAGCCTTGTTTGACAAATCCTTAGCACTTTAGACAAACATCTTTTTGAAAAAAAAATTTAATGAAACTCTAAACATACCAGCAGCTGCAAAAACGGCACACAGTGGTTCCACGCACCCATCATCCAACTTCTCCCCAAACCACCAGCGTAGTCTAAACAT